CTGGTTACTGCAATGCTCCAGTACATTTTCGTGTGAGGTGCTCGTAAATTTGCATCCCTCAGGCTTCAAACATTTTGTTTCCGACCATTTTTTGAATCCCAAAAGGAAACTTTATAAATTTGCTCTGAGTTTCGACTCTCAGACCAAGCAAATTTTGGTGATTTTACTTTGTCTTTTTGCATGCGACAGCTAAGAAATGCACTAAGTTTTAAAACGCACGTGCTGAGCTATTGTTCTGCTCATAAGATTTTGCTTCGTTCTCCTTGCTGACGCCGTCCAGGTTTGCTTAAGATCCCTATTCATTGTAATTGTCAGCCATGCCTCTCCTATAAGATTAGCTTCGTGAATAAGGCGTAAAAAAATTGTAGTTTCTAAGCGTAAAACAAACGATGTTTTCTGGTGTATGTTTCTGGTTCCTTTACATATTCTCGTTACCTATTTGCTTGACAATGTCATAGTGATGGGAGGAAAAACTGCTTTTTTTTTCACTCCTGCGATGGGAAGGTTAATGCAATTAGACAGCATATGGAAAGCAACGAACAGTCATGCAAGCGGACAATTGATTGTTAAATCCTGAATTAATAGCTTCATCTAGTGAGATCACTTAGCTCAGAACCACCTTTCAAGATCTTAGAGCTATCTCTCTCAATTGCCATACATTTCTTCGTTACTTATCAGAGGCTAGACCCATTCGCCAAGCGCAGCGAAATCTAATGCATGTCAGACACATCGCGTTACGTAACATAAAATTTTTAACTATTGAGACATTGTTCCTCAACAACTGTGGACAAAAACTGATTGAATTTCCACATATCGTTTCATTTCTTTCATCAAAAATCCCTAACTGGCTATTGATTTCACACGCACATGTGTTCGTTGATATGAACTCGAAATTTACAGACAGAAAATTGTTTTTTTATCATATATTATAATAACCTCTTCTGGAATTACCTTGTTGTCCTTATCTGTAAAGAAAATCTAAAGTTAGATTTAAAACATTTCATAAAAGATCGTTAATTAACCTAATTAATTGCCTAAGGGTCAAATTCAAGATTTATTTACTTTTCCCATTGTCAGCCCTGTACTGCATGGTGACCATTAGATAAAACGTTGAAACGGAAAGTTGCTGCAACAATACAAAAAGATACGATAGATAACAACATTTTAGCAGAACCCTGAAGATCATTTTTATAGTTCTATTTTATTCTCTGAATAAAAAAACTTGTCACACCAAAATTTATATTTGTAAATAAAGTCTCAATTCTACAGTTATCAATATCGCTGTATTTTCAGGTTGGTTACAAACGCATTTGCTCAAAGGACCGTTAAGCAAACAAAATTAAAAGTACATACTGCAATCATGCACTGTATTGCAAATAACGGAGCGTGATGATCTTGATACAAGTTAAGAAAACGAGAAAAGCTTTGAGGACGATAAAAATAAGGCGATATCCCAGAGTGCTTTTCTCTAAAATATCACATCTGCCATTTTAGAATTTATCATTATTTCTCGGTCGTGAGAATACATTCTTGCCATTGACGTCAATAAGTCTTAATCATTTCTGAGTGAAATTCTTTCTTTTCTTTTCAAGCAAAACATTTTGATGCACTCGCGGTATTTTGTCCTTTCATTGCCTGATTTTCGCCTGATAAAATTTAGCCTATAGAAATATTCAACTTTGAATTAATTGTTATTCCTTAAAAGGATGTCATGAGATCAATTGATTCTTTTCACTAACATGGCTCAGATATCATATCTCTCCGCCCTCTGTAGACCAAACAAGGTATTTCTTTTCTTTGCCAAATTGTACCTTAAAAATGCCCAAAATTCTTAACTCTTTCAAAGTCTCTTTGTCATCTGTCTGCTATAAAATGGCCATGCAATCTGGTTAACTTTGAACTAGTGCCATTTGCTCTATGACTTGAGATGAAAGACAAGCCCTAATCTTCTCTCCAGGTTAGATCCAGATACAAACTAAGCCTTTCGAAGTTTAAACTCGAGGTAAGGATTTTACAACTGCACAGGTTTTTCTTAGCTTTTGCTGGGCTAGAAATGACGTGACGAGTTTTCTGTTTTCTGTTTTCTCAAAAATTTCCCAAAATTGGAACAGGCTCAAGGTTCGAGTCTATTCTTTTCCATTGCCCTCGCACTTGGTAGACAGAACTTTAACCTCTTAAAAATTTGTAGAAAGATGAGAGTTTTCTCTGAAAAATGATCGCATTTTTGCATACCTATGATAAAAATAAAAAGTAATGGCCTTGTTCATATTACATCAGTAAAAAGAAAATTTTGCAACTGATTCAGCAACGTTTTGTAAAGAAATTGGTCACAGAATTAAGACGACAACTTTTTTAAACTTCAAAAGCTTAGTTTGTTCATACTGTGAAGATTTTTACTAGTATGCCAGCAGCTATTTCAATGTGAGGAAAACTGATTTGAACAGACTGACTGATTTGTCTAGGCAGACTAAAAGCTTCAACCACTGCAGACAGAAATGAAAGCAGGGTTTTTTGGTGGTTTGGATTACACTTTCCTCTCGATTATATATGATGATCTTAATTTTACAAGACTGAACAGAGGATGATGTAAAATGACGAGAAAAACCTGCCTGCGCTTGTTTTTTTTTTTATTTCCCGAAGCAGCGCTAATGATTTCTATCAAAAACAGAAGACACGTGCCTCAAGCAGTAATAAAATCTGGAAGTGTCACACCAAGGAGATGGATTGCGCGGCATTTAATCTTAGACATTTTTAGCAATGAACTGTGGTATTATTCAATTCCTTTTCCAAAACTCGTTATCATTAAAATTAAACTGCGTTAGAGACTTCGGAAATTGTTTTTGTTAAATTAGGGAGTTTGATTTGTCGGATCCAAGAACTCCAGTTTTATGTCGGTGTTCCAGAAGTATCTATCTTGGGCGATTAATGAAATATTTATTCCTAATCAAACCATTCAAAACTCATTTTCCACCTTTCCCAGGATAACCGCCGTTTAGTTTCTCTGTTTTCAAACCAGGCATACGTATAACTGTTTATACTTGCAAAGATTGGAAAATTAAATTAATTTTTCGTGGAGGTATCTCTTGCAGAGATAAGTAATTTTCTAGACAAGTATTTAAACCATTCGAAGATAAATTTCATATTTTCGTAAATTTGTTTTGGGGCATAATTTCTCGCTTGAGAAAATCTTGTGACGTCAAAAATAGTATATGAAAATGGTGTTAGCTATGTCAGGCGACCCAAAAGACGTCAGAAGAGGTGGAATGGAATTGTTGAAAGAGACATAAAAAGTAATATTGCCTCAGACCATAGGTAGTAAACAAAGAAGGAGTAAATCCATAGAAAACAAAATAAAAGAATAAAGAGCTTGAGTAAAAGATGTCCAACTTTTCTGGCGAACGAGACAAAAAAGATGAAGTGTGACGGGGAGCATCCGAACATCAGAGCGACCGATATGACGCGGGTGGAAAATATACCAGTTGAACTGCAGATAAATAATTGGCAAGTTACGCTATAACAGGCGGTCAAATAAAGAAAGAAAGTATAGATTGCATCTATCGTAAGGACTTTACAAACAATAGCATGTTACGTATTTCACTTGAACAACCACGACCTGTTCCCAAGCTGCATTTTTATCACGTGTACACCGTCAGCATTTTTTAAATCCGTTGGTTGAGATGTTACTTGAGATCAGCTGATAACTACACAATTGGTGTTTGAGATGGCAATTCAAGAACCTTTTAATAAAAGTTGTATTGTGAATATTTTGCATGCGCTGATAGCTGGAACTACGCTGGCGCCAAACCCCTTTTTCGCCCTCTCATTAATAAAGGCCGCATCGATTACATCCCGCTGTTAATGACGGAAAGCGGTCTGTGAAACCGTGATTAGAACTCAATTAAATGGACACTTTAATTTGTGTTCATTTATAGTTACACATCAGTAGTGCGTTTCCATCGATGCGCGAAAAGCGAATGATTTATCTGTTAAAAGTGAAATTGATACCTTATGCTAGAGGCTTCTTGGGCCTGATATGTAAGGACATGTAACATCAAGTCGGTTTCTTTCAGTGTCGACCTCACGACCTCAGTGAATTGAGTAAAGAGAGCCGACTAAATTTAAGTAAACCCTTTAATTTAAACAGATTTACACCTGAGAACCAATATCTTCACAAAACAGGTGACGATAGGCGTCTAAGAAGAGTTGGATAGCATTCAACCAAGGAAGAGTATTGAACATCCCGTCAAAATTAGTTGGTGCTATGCTACTGATCAGTTGGCCCTCGTTTTTGTTACCTTTTCATTGTAACCATTTTTAATAAGCGGGAAATGCAAACAAGATAACACAATCCATTTAACCTCCCACGCGTAATGATTATAGCGTGTTTGTTTTACATGAACAAAGATTTCCACAAAACTGTAAACTGTGTGTAAATTTACTAATCGGTACCTCCATATTGAACATTTGGAATATGTTCAGAATTCTGTAGCAAACAAAAGTAGAAGAGCCCAATCAACTCCAACCCGCTTGACTCACATTTTCCGCTGACTCAACCTTAGAGCTATACTTTCCCTAAAAAAATTCAGGCATTTCTCAGTCATTTGCCATCAATCAGCTCTCCAGCCATATTTCTTTTTTTTTTCGCAGTTCGAACTCAGTGATAAGGTTCTGAGAATCAGACATGAATAATTGTTTATTCATGCATGCTTTTCCTTACGTGGGTATTGTGAGAGACTTGATTGAGACAGTCGTCAAACGAATGTTTTATCGCAGAATGTTTATTTTTACACCCAATCTTTGGATTTCCTGGATTTGAAAATGTGTGTTATTTTTATCTGCGACTTAATTCTCGCGGTTAGATTAAGATGTTTTTAAATTTTTTGTGTGTTAATGCGTCTGCAGTAATAACCCAGTTTTACCCGGGGCTATTCCACATCTCTCACGTCCATTCAGCTTGGGTGCTGTGGCAACCACTGAAATACGCAAATTTCTTCACACAGATACCGTCGGGGACAATCGTCGGAAGAAAAACCCAGCGAGGCTCAAGCAAGATCTATCCCTGCTGACAAATCAAAGGTGAGTTACTTTTGTGATTGAAGGTCCGCGCTCGCACATTCTACAATGTAGCACTGTTAAGTACAGCTGAATTGATTGCTGATCCATGACAACTTTGGTAGCAAACTTTAGTTGATGCTAATAAATAGATGAGTGACAATGATATTCCTGCATTAGAAATTGAACAACCGTTCAGCTGATGTTAGAATGGTTCATTCGAAGTATAGAGAAGATGGTTCCTGAACTTTCATCATTTTTTATTTCTCCAAACTAGTTGAAGCTACATGCAATGTGCCTCAATTTCGATCAATTTCTAAGGGCAGCATGATGCGTCATTTGAATTGCGTCTGAAACGAGGCATCCAAAATGATATGGCCAATAAATTTTCAAGTTCTGTTACAAAAAACTGGCTGAAGGTATAGAAGACCTTCTGAATGGGGTAAATTGTTTGGGAATGATTTCTTTGTCATCAAAAAGTTTCTCGAAATATTCCGACCCTAAATAACTGTCATCTTCGGCCACTGATAGATTTGAAGTCGCTTGCAACAATTATTTGTGTTCGCCCATCAAATGGCCTTGCTATACATTTCTTAGAATAACTTCTTACGATTCGAAGCCCACCCGTAAACTTATCCTACGATCTGCAAAGGGCCAGTAGGTTTGCATAATAAACCGATGAGAGGAGGTGACAATAAAGCAAATCGGTTGACTGCATATTTATTCCCTTCCAGAGAAAAACAATATCGGTGAATAAAAATTTAATTATGCAATTTTCGCTCATCGAACTGGGTGAATTCTGTTGGGGGACTCTCAACATGATATCTGAAAGCTTGCCATTATGATGCACTCACAAGAGAGTAGCCAGCCAGTTCCTGTGTTTATCGTGTGCACCACCACGTTTGCCTAAAGCATTTCACGGCGTGAGTGAAGCTCAGTTACGATGATTGATAATTTTTTGGTACTAGTCCTATGAAAGCTATCGCCTGTTGCTATGCTTTTGACAATCTAACACATTGCCAAATTGGCATGAAAGATGTTTTGAGAAGAGAACAGCCTACACTTGAAAACAGTGTTGAATAATGTTTGCATCTTGAGTGTAGAGACAATTGCATCGCTTTAAAGTTTAAGTTGAAAACTGCAGTTCACATCCTCGTCATTTGAAGTGTTCTACCTATTCTAAATCAAGACTTGTCATTCGAAACATCATAATAGATTACACTAAGTGGAACCATATCAGTTTGTTTTTAAATTGAATCAGTATGTTTGGTATTTTATAAGATCCTTCTAATTAGCCTCTAACAGCATAAGGCGGAATTGATACGTAAGCTAAAATTGGTGCCAGCATCAAAATACGGCTCAAAATACTTTATACTATTTCTCAACGGTAAGCTCAAGTTTTCACGATTTTATGTTGTTCCGAAGGAGTTGATATATTGTTTCTTTATCGCCCTTACCGTCATAAGATAACATCAAACAGAGCGATCAAAGATCTTATCTTTCAGTTTTTGAATAAAATTAACAAACTTTTCGTGTAGGTATTCAACTAGAGACACACCTTAACCCTTTATTGTCAGGAAAGTCAGTTGTGGTTTTGCACATTCGTACGGAAGAGATCGATAAATTCATACTGAGGGCTTGAGTTCAAAAGTTATTATTGAGTCTGACGACAAACTTAAACAAGTTTATAAAAAATGCAGGTCACTATTTCTGAATTTCCTTTCTTGGCGTCCGACTATGGCCCAAGGAAGTGTCATGCGCCAGACAAACGAATCATAATTTATTAGTTACTGGAGCGTTCTGGGAGTGGACCTCTATGCATTGAAATTAGTTGATGATTTTCGATTTTCGAGTCTTGTTAAATACTTGTGATAGTCAGACAGTTTTCGCGCTGTATTGTAGTGACATGAACTGAAGAGCAGTCATTTACTGCGGGCGATTCTGATGCATTTCTTGAAAATTGAGTTTGTGAGTTTGATAGTGGAAAGTAAAATAACGTAATTTTCAGAGTTTTCTTTCTTTTGACTTTTTTTCTTTCTATTCGTTTTTTTTCTAATATGATAAGAGTATTTATTACTAAAGTGACTTGTGAACTTTTTTGTTGTAAGTCACCTTAACTACCGCTCCTGATATTTTCATCAAATTCCTAATTTTGTTTAATTTCCAAATCCGTTGAAGATAGCGCTTAATGAGAAATGAAATAGCTGACCTTAAATATTTAGTATGCGAAATTGAGCGGAAAAGCCAAACAGTGCGACCCTTTTGTGTTCCCCACGCGTTATGTTAAAGTGCGTGACATTTGAGATACATGGGGCCAAATTTCGATGCGTTATGGGAAAAACGGATGAGCAACCTTCTCATGGGTGACTAAAGCGCCTTCTTTAAATGAGGCACGATTTGGTCAGCGGCTGCAAATCCGGAACGTGTGGAGTTCGAAACTTTGAAACTTTCCTCTGTTGTATTTTTCATCAGAACTCAAACTAAAGACCCATTTATATTACAAAAAGGAAGCCAGCTTTCGTATTTCGTTGATATCCGCAAATTACGAACGAGAGGTCTTTTATTGGTGTTTTAAAAGAGATACATCAATAAAACTTTCTAAGTCATCAGCTAGTGGTTCTACTTTACAGGTACTATACTTCCTTTGGCCTTCGTCGCTTTTTCACATGAAAAAAAAACATTGGTTCAAAAAGATTGGACGAATTGTTGTCTTCTTTTTAACTGAGACTCTAAAACACCGATTATCATTAGTACACCCATATGAAACACTTCTTCAGAAAACGTGTAAGTTCATGATTATACTGGAATGCTATACGTGCAGGCTAGCTAAAAACACAATTTTCCTGAAAGGAGAATACTCTCGTCTATTGGCCTTCTTAACCTTAAGAAAATAAGGTTCACATAGCGGCGAAAAACACGACAAAGACAAGCTTGTCACAAAAATATGATTTATAAAGGAAAGAGGACTGAGTGGAATCTAATTCGGTCTGAAATCATACGAGTGATTAACAAAATCGGACGACCGCAAAACGGAAGTCTGATTTCTTTTTCACGAGTATGAAATCAAAAATTCCTCCATTTTGGAAATTCCCAGTTTTTCCTAGGATTAGTGGTTGTTGCCATGGTTATTGAGATCAATTCTGTGATTGGTGGATTTAGCTGATGGACTTAGTTCGATTGGCTGCTTCAACTGTCCGATTACCGGTGTCCGATCACAGCCAACTATCCGATGACACTTTCCGATTACAACTCTTCAAAATGACTAGTGAAAATAAGGCAGTTAGTGCACCAATCACAATTAACGAAATTGCGATGGTCGTGATAAGATGAGAAATCCTGAGTCTTAACCTAAATCTCGGAGTCGCAGCAATCGTGTCAGTTTTCATCGTTCCTCCAAAGCCATGTATGTTCTCAGCTTTAGGAAAGGACAAAATGCAAATAATGATATTTAAAACATTCAGTCATATCCAACCCCAGTCGTAGATCTTAGAAGCCAAAACGTCACCAACTGGCAGTTTGCCGTTTACGATAATCAGGAATACTTTACTCAATTTGGAGCAAGCTTACTCCTCTCAAGTTATCAAACATACCGAAGGCTCACGAAATTGCTTCATATCCTATGTTTTTCATTGCTCAGCAACAAATTGTCGACTGCGTGTCTATGGCGTAGTTGTAATTGCTTATTACGAGCGTTACACCAACTAGAAAGAAGTAAATGTCATTAACTGAAGAAGCATTACAACATCAAAATCCCGTCTCTATGGAAACGACCCAAATGAAAAATATCAGGGTCAGAAATATTGATCAGTAGTGAGACATGTCAGTGCTCACGCACACGAGCCGAGAGAATGCCGGAAAAAGTCCTCATAAAACCAGCCCACAAAGACCCAACATGTCTTATTCGATATAAGGAAAACTTCATGTAAACCAGGAACTGACTCCTGCGCTATATGCCGGCCCAGGCTCCGATCAACAATGGTTGTAAAGCCCAAATTTACTTGGAGTTTTGGAGTTCTAACCAACCCTATTCTTACAGGCAATAAAAGCGCAAGTACTTCTACGCAAGCAGAGAACGGGCCTAATCTGAAAAACTTAGATTTTCATGCGCATAATTGGCCTTACCTGTTTTACATTTGTCATTGCTTAGGATGTGGCGTAGAAGGTCAACATAAAGCTTACCTCTTTTCGTATAAAAAAAAAATCACACGCATGTCATTGTATGCTTTCTATGGAAATTATCTTTCACCGTATTATTACTGATTGAGTTTCAGTTTTCGCAAGGCATAGACATTTGTGTTTTTAAGTGAAAATGGTTTCTCACTCCAAGCTCAATTTATATACACTGCGTGTAAACCTCTAAAAAGTAAGAAAATTCCAGTTTCGGAAAATTCATGGCCAAAAAAAAAATTCCCCTAAATATTCGTTGCACAAAAAAGGAACAATGCTTTCTTGATCTGAGCATATAGAATAATGTATGAAACAACACAGTTGCGCTCATATTCCTTACATTTCTACTTAAAGGGATTCAATATCTGTTGAGCTATCAGATTCTGAGCAATTTGATAAGGAACCTGGTTGCAACCCCAAACTAAGAGAACATTCGAATTGTTCGTTGGAGGTCACGCTACATATGGAATCTTTCTTGCGAGACCGCTTATACTCTGTAAATTTCGTATGACAAAGTTGAAAGCGATCTATTCCGTTTTACTAGTGCGAGGGAGTGTTTGAAAGATGCCGCCTAGAGGAAAATTTGCCTAGCACATCTTAAAATCAAAGATACTCTGGCGCCAACAACAGGTGACCGAGTAACACAATTGAAGATATGTTATTTGCTAAACCTAAAATGGAAATGTGAATTGGCGAAATTAGTTCACAAAACATGTTGCCACAGATGAAGGACGTGATGTAGTTTTATTTTGCGTACTGCATTTGAAATTCTCGTGAACTCTGTCCTTATGTACAAAAGGTTCCCGATACAAACCACTTCGCATAAAATTTATTCACATATTCAATTCATGAGTGAC